CGGGGCCGCGGCAGCCCCTCTCTGCTCCCCGCTTCCCGGGCCACTCCCTGTCCTCGTCCGGTCCCGCACGAGGCTCATTTGCGGGGCTCAGTGGTGGACAGGTGTCCCCGGGGCCTTCCCGGCAGCGAGTTTAGCCACGACCCATGTCCCCGTCCTTGGAGGGGCCGCCGCACCCCGGGATAATCTCACAGTTTAGAGCCGAGAAAAGCCAATAGCGGCGGAAGCACTTGGCTGGTCCTGCAGCTTCGGTTGCCATCGCACGTTAATAAATGGGTGTTCTGGAACCTTCCTGAGGCTGTCCCAGTCCATCCTGAGCGGCCCGGCCTGCCCCAGGCAGGCTCTGCTCTGGGGGGCGTCGGGGCCACAGCTGGGCCCACCGACACAAGTCGGGGAGGCCTTCATTCTCGTTCACCTCCATGATCAGCTGCTATTTAATTCGTGTGTTCTCTCAACGCTCTGTCCCACCTTTGAGTGACATGAGCTCTTGGGGATGAAGGAACAGAGGTCCCCTGATATTTTCAGTCTCCACTGAAGCAGCTGGGTGGCAAACAGTAGCTTCTACATGAAACAGACGACTGGGATTGTGGTTTTTATGTATTTTCCTGCCAATAATAATAATGAAATATGATCCATGCTCATGGGAAAAATGGAGGCAACAAGATGTTAGAGACCAAGCAAACCGCCTCAACTTAGAGGCCAGGAGGGTATGTAAGCCTCCTTGCCTGCCCGCCTCCCTGCCAGCCTCCCCTCTGGCCTCCCCGGCCCTGGGGTTGGAGCGGTGAGGAGATGGTGCTGGTCCCGGACAGGACTTGGGCAAGCGTGTGTCCTGCTGGCCTGGGGTCCTGCTGTGGGAGTGATGTCCAGGGCCAGGCCCATGAAGGCTGCCCACCCCCCAGTGTCAGGCTGGCTCTCAGGGCCCTGGGGACTGCGTTCCTCTCCTGTCGAGGGAGGAAACGGGGAAGCGGGCCTGAATAAGCCTGGCTGCAGACCAGTGTGGACAGCATCTCACTCTATTTATGAACACCCATGCCCCCGCGGCCTCTACGGCACCCACACCAGCCACGTGTGTGAGCGCCTGGGTGGTGTACCGCCTTCCGTGTTGACCTTCACTGCACACACCATCCCCACTCTCTGACCTAGATCATGACTCCTCTGAGCAGAGAACAGTCCTTCCATGGAGACAGCGCCTCCTCGACTGGCAGGCATCTGGGACGTTTCTAACGTCCTTCCTCATAAATGGGCTGCTGCGGACACCTCAGTTATCCGCGGAGAGTTTCTTTCCAAAGGCACAACAGCTGGGTGAGTCACAGCCCACAACGACACAAGTTCTCGCCATGGTCCCAGTGTCCAACCCTGGCGTTTCCCAGGCTCTCGGAATCCCAGCTGCTCCCAGCCCCGAACTCTGAGCCCAGGTAAGATGCTAAAGCTATGCCTCGTCCCTACCGTGCTAGTGTCCTGGAGCCGCCTTAAAAAAGCACCACAGGTTGGTGGCTTAAACAACAGAAATGTATTGTCTCCAAAGGCCAGAAGTCCAAGATCAAGGTGCTGGTTCCTCCTGAGGCCTCTCCCCAGCTACCTGGGGTTTGCTGGGGACCCGGTGCTCCCTGGTTTGTAGAAGCATCACCCTGATCTCTGCCTTCATGGTCACGTAACATTCTCCCTCTGTCCAAATTTCCCTTTTTAGAAGACACAGTCATATTAGATGAGGGGTCGTCCTACACCAGGGTGCCTTCATCTTAACTAATCACATCTGCAACCACCCTATTTCCAAACAAGGACATTTTCTGAGATACTGAGGTTAGCATTCCAACATACAAATCCTGAGGACACACAATTAATCCAACACACATACATGCCGGTCCTTGACTCTACCTTATGGAGTCTGCCACTGGGTACACCGGGCAAACGTTTCCCAAATTATGTCCCTCAAATATTAGCTCCACAGGATGTTAACACATGTTAGGTACTAGGGGGGCTCTGTGGGCAAATAGGTTTGGGAACCAGTATGTTAAACAGTGTTTTCCTTCCTCCCTCCCTCCTTTCTTTCTTTTTTATTGCAGGACTTCTCAGGGCCTTAGTATGGTCATAATCTGTACTGTGAATTTCCAAC